CTCAACTGCGAGAGCTGTGTGAAACAGCACAGGTTTTCACACCCTGCAGTTTGCCGAGGCCTCCTGTCTGTGTCCTCTGTAAAGGTCCTGGTGAGATAACAAGAGTAGCGACTCCAGCCTGTGGCAGAAGGGAGTCTGTGACAAATTAATCTGTCTTATTATACAGTTCAAATTAATGCACATTCGCTGCAAACCAATACTTTCATAGTGCGCTGCACTATTAGTAAATACAGTACTGATAGCTTGTGTTACCTGTTAACACTTCTTCCAATATACAGAAAACCTGGCTTATTGAGTCTTTTTTATATAATATAGTGAAGTCTGAAAGCAACCATAAAATACATAAAAAAAGCTGTATAAGAAACTGATCTTTGAACCATCTTCACATTTTCATGTGAAGGGCATGAAAGTGTGAAAGTACACCATCTCAAATGAAGGCCCAATGCCACACTCAGTTTTATATTAGGCCTTAGTTCCTGGCTTGGATCATATGAGTGGATACAACCGGGCCCGAGATAGAAGTAAAAAAGTTCTTAAAAATTATTAATCCAGGCCCTGATAACTCCACTACCTGCTGGCTTCAGATTAATTGCACCCCAGATTTCACTAGCAATTTACCAATTGGCTATTTTTGAATGAATTTCAGCTCCTCTACAAGTTAGGTTTGTTGTGAGGGTGGCTAGAATTTTCCACTTTTGCATTGAAGCCTTTTCAGAGGGACAGGATCGCACACTGACAAAATGCACGTGCGCTCAGCAGACTACACTGCTGGCTCCATCACTACACAGCTCCCATCCCTTCACGGAGAGGCCCAGTCTTCTGAAGTAACTGCTGGGGTACTGGCTGCAATCACCAGGACTTCCACAGCTCTCCTCCGGCCCAACACTTAAAACGTCACTAAATATTCCCGTTCTGAGTCGTCGACCACGTGCAGGCCTGACCTTGCACCAGAAACTAAAATCGGACTCCCCACGATCTCTGCTGGCCAGGCTAGGCTGTAGATCCTCCAAGAAAAAGCAGCACAATGAGACCTAATCCAATAACGCCATGCAGAACAGAAAGGAAAGATCAGGAGGTTTGCTGGCAGTAATTCAATCACCAAAGTCCCCCCGAATTAAACAATCACAACATTTCCTGTGTAGCTCTGTGCAGCAAAAAGCCTTTATTCGAGACTCCAGATATCCTCCGTCTTTCATGCATGACCTACGTGCCTATTGGGAAGATGAGGGAAAAAAACATTTCAGAATCAGCAGTCCACTTCCACGAGAAGATCAGTACAAGCACATTTCTGGCTAGCACACAGCTGCATTGCCCCTGTCCTTCTATTCCATTTCACAGCACAGCTTCAGATCATGCTTCAAAAGAGTGGGGCTCATCACATTCATTTTTTGCTCAGCACTGCCCCTCAGCTCAAATCCAATTATCTGCCCATCGGTCATCAGAAAGCCACTGACTGCTTGGTAAGGGGCGGGCAACCCAGTGCCTATCTCAGAAGCTCAAAGCAAGAGGCAGGAACACAATCCCAGCCTCCCACTAGGCATGCACACAACCAGCGACAGCTGCAGAGACACCAGCGAGCCTCGAAACCAGAACACCAAACCCAGTGCATGTCACATGCTGTCCACTCCCCTTTTCTTTTCCCCCCACTACTGCCATCCTATAATTCTTTATTTTATTAACAGATGAGGGATTCCAAATCACCTCTGAGGCAGCATCTAGCCAGATTTATTTAAACAAAAAACGATGGTAGCGTCTTCTTGGATGCCAGTCCCCTGTCAGTCCAACAGCCAATAGGATCATTTCCACAGGTAATTATCCAGCAGCATGTTACCATAGTAACACAGAAGCCAATCATGCATGTTGTAATTACACTTGGTCACATTCCCTTGCCTGCACTAGGAAAGCTGGAGTAGTAACTTTTTCAATAAAGTATTTCAGAGGCAAAAACAACACGCAGCTACACAGGGCACCATTAACTTTATGCTAGCCGGCCGCTGACCTTTTAAAAACCACTTACTGAGCAAACGATCACTGGAGCAACATCAAGAGAAACCAGCATCACGCAATTCTACTGCTCGACAAATCCTAATTCTACACCAGCGAGCTTCTGAAGGTGGGCAGCAGTGTGGACACTGGTTAGGGTTCTAGACTTGTAACTAGAAGGTTCAAATCCCAGATGAGACACTGCTGTGGTCACAAGCAGGGTATTTCACTGTAGATGCCCCAGGAAAATGACCAGCTGTAGAAATGGATGCCAACACAACTCATACAGATAAGTCACCACAATAAATAAATGACCAGCGCTCTTCTGAAAGTAGTGATGTAGCGGCTATATTATCGTTATATGTCATATGTCGATATTGTGCAACAGCAGAAGGTAATAGCATCGCACAGTAGAGAATGATAGTCCCAAACATAACGGACTACAACATTCAATTTTGAATTACATGTTGAACGAGAATGTTATTAAACTGTGGCTCAAACATACCGTAACACATCATTTATCAGTAGTGGATAGAAAAATCTTCAGATTTTTCTTAAAAGTTACTACAGGACTCTGCAGTGCTTCAATTAAATGACATGGTGAATCAGAGTTTAGGTATTGCTCTATTAGAGCAAAAGGAGTAGAAAGAAGAGAGAGGAGGGGTAAACTTGCAGTTTTGTAGGCCAGATTTAGGACCTACTGTTTTCTGTACCCAGTGCAATAAAGGCTTCCCATACTGTTACTGTAACAGTGGAAAATTACACAGAACTGCAGATCAGAAGTTTGAATAGTGAAAACAAACACAAAAAAAACACTGAAATGCTAGAAAAAATGAAATACAAATCACATTAAAAAAAAACTAAATATTAATAGCTTAAATCTCTTTTAGTCATGTTGTGGAACAAACCTGATCATTTTTATTTTTAATGATCAATAACCTAGGGCAGAAAAGGAATAAATTACAATTCAACAGAGCGAAAAATGAGTCACCCTGCTGTTCCCAAGTACACAATCTGCAGGTACTCTGGGATCTTTCGAAAAAAATACTGCCTACATAATCTCCACTGAAATAAGGCCGTGTATCCCTTTACCAGCTTAGTTACCAATAATACAACAATCCATCAGTTACAGAATGAATTCAAACACTTTCACATGAACCTGCCAACAAGTAGTTTTTTTTTTTAAAGTCTGGAAATAACTTGCAGTTTTGAGCATTTTAAATTAAAAAAAGTCTTTAGTGTATATACATATAAACAAGAGAGATTACTTCTCACATTAAGAAGCATTAAACAGGGTGTAGACTGGAACCTGAATGTAACACACACTGGTGCCCCGGACTGTTATTCCCAATGTGGTTTAACAGTTGCAAGAAAGAAGCCCTGCAGTCTGCAAGCTCACAAACAGTATAAATGCTCACTTTGATATTTCAGCAGGGTACAGCCCCCCTGTATAAAGTACATTTATGGTCCCATATGGGAGGAACAAAGGATGTATAAGCTGCAGGTCAAGCCATGACACAGGAGTACAGCAACTAAACCTCACAGCCCTTGACTGAGCGGCGTCCTAAACCCAGATTAGAGTTTCCTGTTACAGCAGCCTTCAGTTCCCCTCCTTCACCTCTTACCTTCATTTTCACACGAGACTCCTCTGCTCCTCCCGGGGAACCAGGGTGTCAAGCCTGAAACTGCAAGAAAATATTTTTTTAGATGGGGAAATGAGTGCAGGGATTCCAACAGCACTGCTTCTGCTGAGTTTTACTTAAACTGAGTGTTGTTTGACTTTCTTGTTGTTGTGGCTGCTGCTGCTGTTGTGCGTTTAAGGAGGTCTTTCCTTAATGTCTCTGTATAGGAGCATCCATGCAAAGAGGCATTTCATTGCACTTGTGCTTATGATAAAAACTGGACTCTGAATTGCCCGATTTTCATGTGGCCAGGCCTCACGCAAGAAGAGAAAGACAAAAAAGTGTATGTAATGAGTTGTATTGTAAACATGCAGTTCAGATGCATCACAGTGAGTTTAAAATCACAATTCAGTGGGGCAAGGTATCCATCTCAACACGTTAACGTGCAATAATGTGTGCATCACAGAGCAAAGAAAGAAGAAATTATAATAGATCAAACAATCGAAAAAGCGGGACAAATATACTTCAGATAGTCAAAATATGCTCGTCATTAATGGGAGGCCTCCCAAGCAAAAGAAGAACAGCAAGACAGATCAAGAGTATGAATTCACCATTTAAAGGGATGCAAACAGATAATGATTAGACAACCTTCTTGTTCATAATAAAGCAGAGCTTCTCTCTAAATGAAAACTAATTCCTCCCTTATTCTTTTCCAAGACATTCTTGGAGTACACAGTCTGAAGGTCAATAAAAAAAAAATCTATTTCTGGTATACAAGGGTGTTCCAGTTTTTATTTCCAGTCCCATACTAGCAAACTTTTAACAAGTAATTTATTTTTTCCTTAACGTTCACGACGACTTAGGATCTGTATCCACTATGTGCGATACAGGTGTGCGATAACAACCAGTAAAAACAAGCACAGATCACATTTTGTAAAGAAGCATTTCTTTCTACTGTCTACATCTATTGTTCTCTTTTCTGCAGAAAATATATTTTTAACGTTGCTTTCTGTAACTTAAAGCCCATCGCGAAGGAAGACCTCAAATCATAGTTTGTGACAGTAAAATTTCAACACGTTAACGTTTCTCTCCACGACGCTATCCTACCAAACACAGCAGCTGTACGAGAACGGAAGTTCACGTGTGCCAAAATAAATGTTCATTTAAACTAGCACTATTAAATCTCCTAAAAGTACAGAGAACGGGGATATTTGAACAGAAAAATAGGTCGTGACGTTTGACGCTCAATTTCAACGTGATCATTTTTTTTTATTTTTCACTCCTGTCCGCGAAACAATTTAAACCGATTTCGAAACCAGACGGGGCTCCCACTGTCCCTGAAATAAAAATGAATGAGCAAGACAAACAAAAAGAATACGGCAGCTTTTTTTTTTTTAACTTTCGGTTTTCGGCGTCATTTCCAAACGGCTCGGTTACAGACGCGATCGAGGAGGGCAAGGAGAGAGAGAAAAGGAGGGATAAAATGAAAAAGAAGAACTATTTTGACACGGGTTGAGGACGGGGAGTAATGTCTGCTGTGTGTGTGTGTATCAGTGCAGGCAGCTAAGTGGATGACGCCATTTCTGTATCACAGCAGAAACACATTTCGCCAACAACACGACACTAGTACGGTAGAGAAAGACGCACACACAAAAAAATCCGTCTTAACAACGCCAAGTGAAAGACAGCGAGAAATAAAATTAATCCATATCGCCCTTCTCTTATTTCTCCCCCGTCAGTCGAGGTGTACTGTCTTTTTGTCTCAACCAACTGACAGTTTCTCAACGGAATAACAACCTCACTCGCGCAACCTGCGGATGATGATGGTGACGATAATAATAACAACAACAACAAAAAAATAACACTACAGCTGTAGCAGCTCGATAAAAGCCAGCAAGCGTGTGTGTGGGGGGGATTTTTTAAGTCGATTTTTTTTTTCAGGAATCCCCTGTTGGCACTCTCTCCGAGCAGCACAGCGTGATACACATCATCAGATCGGAGGGCTGGTGAGGTTAGGAAAGGGACCGGAGGAGGAGGAGGAGGAAGAGGAGGAGGGGGAGGGAGGGGACAGACGGGCTGGTTTCTTTTGTAGGGTCTCCGTGAAATCTGAAATCGTTAACTTTGATTTGCCAACCCAAGAGGCTGCCAAAACGCACCGAAGTACACACACAGAGCGGCGGACAAAAACCCATCGAGCGATTTCCGCGTTCAAACGCAGACGAGGGAGGGAGAGAGAGAGGGCTCCTCTGTCCGAGGCTGTTTCGGTTGCACATTTTCGCTGACTCCCCAAACTACAACCCCGACGCCTCTCCCACGGCGTGAAACGGCAAACGAGGATTTTGTTTTTTAAAGAAACAACAACAACAACAACAAAACCCACCATGAACAAGGCTAAACTAAACAAAGTGACACGGGCTCAAAAACCTAAACCGACCTCCCCTCACCGCCGCCGCCGCCGTCGTCTTCACCGACTTCGAGAGACGGAGGAGCAGCCGGGGACCGACTGCGGACGAGCAGCAACCATTAAATCCGACAAACCAGGCACTACAATGTCACCCCGCTTAATG